GCAACGACTCTTCTGTCCCGTGAATAAAAACTTGTCACTTATATCGGAAAATGATGTTGTGGTATACTGATATATTTGGTAGGTAATTATAAAACAGTTAGATTATCCTGTACTTATATTTCAAAATCTTATGGTTACATATGCATAATGTAACTTACTCAAAAATCTCCAAAGAAATGCAAGGTCTTGTTTTAATAATTTCAAAACATAATTATTTTTGGTGGTTAGCTACATGGCTCACCCTGTATAAAAAGTACAAATAGCGAAATCTTTTAACCTCAAAATTGTTAACGGGTAGAGATTAAGATAATGAAATAATTTATCTGTGGCGCAACTGTAGAATTATTGAGTGTTTGCAAAAGTATATTGTGATTTATTCTTGAATCACCCTGTAACAGTAAATATTTTAAAATGTCCTTTTTTATGAACATCTGACCAAAAATTATATTTAACTTTTATACACATTAAGTCAATCTATCTTTTCAGTTTGAAAAAAAAAATAACTAAAATCAACAATTCTCCACTTTAACGCCCTGTATCTCGAAAACTAGTCATAGTATCGGATTTAAAATTCATGCCTCCTAAAACGACATTAAAATTATTATATATTGAGAAAATGGTTACATTTGACGGATGAAATGGTTTTTGTACTTTTCTAAGTACTTTCTAGTAATGTTACTATCTGTGTTACACAATTTAAATGTTTTTGGTCAGTAAGAATATATTGGTTTTAGAATTTTCAAAGATTTGTATTTCATTTTATAGCAATTTTTTGGTTCGATTTCTTTTTGTCTGAGTATAATTTTAACTTATTATCACAACAGTTTTAAATTGAATTTTTACCCATTGACTAACTATATACAAAATATACAATTTGTCTCCAGAGACTATTTCACACCGTTGACAAGATGACAATATTGGTAACCTATTTTCGTTTAAATTTGAAGCTTTCACATGAAACAGCTAACTTCAAAAACGAAACTTAAGTTGAGCTCACAGCGCAGTTAGAGAAATCCAGAGTGTAGGACAAAACTGGCTCATACATGCTGAAGCTAAGAAAAGAAAAGGAAGATATAAGAAAGAAGATAATAAATGAAGAGAGAAAAAAAATACATTCTACAGAAATTCTATTTTTGAAAATTACCTCTTAGTTTACATTCAAAAAAAAAAAAAACAAGAAACTAGACTTGCCAAAAATACAACAGCTGGGTGTAAACCAGAATTTATTTGTAACAAGTGATGTTGGTTTTACTTACCGTGTTTTAGCTCAATTTTAATTAGGGCCGTGAGTAGCACATAATAACCTTGACAAAACTTAACTATAGGAAAGGTATGGAAGGCGCCACCAAACTTACATAAACATATCATTTAAGGTGAATTATAATAGTTTGGCAAATATAATTAATATGACTGATGTTAAAACAGAATGTATATGTTTATGCAGGCAAGTAACAATTACAATCTACATAAGCCATGATTCATTTAAATTACTTCTTTTTTTAATTTTTCAAAGATAAAATTGAAACTTATCTCAAAGGAGGAATGGTGTAGGTCTTCAATCTTTCTCAAATAAGGACGGTCTCCTACAGCGATGCGTCTTCTTCTAAATATAAATTAACATGTTTGTAACCATAACTTCAACTATCTTCTAACCATAAATTAACATATTTGTAACCATAACTTCAACTGTCTTCTAACCATAAATTAACATATTTTCAATTGTATTCTGAGCGTTTGTTTAAAAAAAAATATTTAAAACTATGTTCTCAGCGTAGTTGTAAAAACCATCCAAAGGTTGACTTATCTAAAAGATTGAGACCTTTTTGAAGTTTACGTAATAAGGAAAAATAAGGAATAAGAAGGTAAGATGTTTCTGAACACAGAATGAATAAAAAATTGATCTTTACAGAAATTAATACACGTTCTAAAACATCTAACCTCATATTTTTAACAACTAAATAAATCTCGATCCATTTATGTTAATCTTTCCAGAAATCTTGTAAATATTAATCTTTTACTCACCATGAAATACTGATGGTTCTCACCACTAATAAAAATAACACATACTGTTTAAGATTACTTAAATATTATCAGATTTAATAATCTCGACTGCCTCGTTCTGAGGTATTATTGTAAAAGACTTTTTCAAGTAATACCTGTCGAAATTCACTTTCGATCCGAACATACAACTTATAAAAAACAAAAAATAACTATATAAAATATTTGTAGCGAAAGAATGAAACTATCGGTCCTAATAGAGATGGGACAATCATTTTAAAAATATAGTTATAAATATTAAAAAATAACGGTACTAGAAGAGTAACCGTTACAATATAAAATACCTTCGTGGTTTTTGTACTTTTCTTAATATAGAATACCTTTCAACAAATAAATCACCTTGTATATTTTGAAGCTTAAAGGTAGATATATTTTAGTGATATTACTTTTGCCAAAATTCATCTCATAAGTACAGGGTTTTGAATTAATCGTTAAAAAAAATAATTTTATGTTTTGGTTCTCTCTATAAAACACCCTGTATAAGAAATGTGTACTGTGCAATATTTTGACGTCAAAATACCATATTGAGTAGTACTTTTTGAAAATATGCTTCTCTGACCGCACAGTAGAATTAGTGTGATTTTACAAAAAGTTACCGTCATATATTTGCGAATCACCCTCTAATTATACATATTTTTAATTGTACGTATATACTAATGTCTTACTAAAACTCATAGTAAACGTGTGTATGCATCATAAATTCAATCTAGCTCGTAAGTTTGCTAATTAAAATTCCCAAAACTGGGCAATTTTCAACTTTAACACCCTGTATATCGAAAACTAGTCATAGGATTGAGTTGGGCCCATTGACATTTTTGGTTACTATCTTGACTACAACAACATACCAGAGTTTCAGAAAATTTGACGGGTCGCCACTTTGCACTCGACTTTGCATAAGAAAAGTGCGAGGTCCTAGATAAAAGTAAATTTATTAAATAGATTAGATTATATAGACAGTTTCGTCAATTCCAACGTGCAAAAGGAAAGTTCTGCAACTGGCGACAAAGAAAAAAAATACAGTTGATATATTCAAAAACTATTTTGATACAAAATTTTTAGTAATTAATTTCGCTCAGAGTAATATTTTCGGAATCTTTTGGCTGCTATGCTAACGGCACAAAAAAAACAAAGCTAAAAAAATGGATGTACAATTTTAATCAAAAAGACAACGAAAACGTTCCAAATACATTTCTTCTAAATATAGCTCCTTGATTAACATTTTTGAAATTTACAAAAATTATGACGTCTTTTTATGAAAGCGATATATGGATACTACGTAATCCCATAAACCTGTTGGTGTATAATAGCGGGTGACAATGAGACTAGAGACACGCTAATATCTTTTTTATTTAACCGATTTGGATCAAATTTGTGAAAACTTACTAGACATAATTTCGAATTTACACTTATAGTTAAACAAAATGACTGACTTCCGGTATTACTGGAAATTCCACTAAGTTTGATTTTTAAATGTATCCGCGATTCAAATCATATATGACAGCGTTGCTAAATTTGTATGTTCCCAAACAATTTTTTTTATGGTAAAAAGTCCTGAACTAGAAAATAATGTCTAATAGCTTGCAATAACTCGAAACAAAGCTGTTTTACCAAATGAGTTAAAAATAAATTCATCAGATAAAAACAAATTTCTAAAACAAGTTTTTTACCGAAACCTAATTTTTTAAATGGGCCTATACCATTATTGCCATTTCTCCATTAGATGTCAAATGTTATTACCAATCTGACAATATGCACCATTCGCCAATTTTATATTATTAGGCATTCCAAACAAAATGGCTACCCGTAGGAAATGACAGGTACATGATAGGTTATAATATGGCAACACTGTGAACCTGGTGTTTTGACATGATCACTTATATAGATAGTTATATAGATTGATCGTCCATGTTTTTAAAAATAAACAAAATCATATGCCTTATTGAAGTTAAAATGTAGGTAATTATTTTTATTTTACTATTCAAAGACTGGAAATTGGTTTTAAAACACATTTTTGCTAAACCAATTCAAATTAATTGCCAGGCAATATGGCTCCTCGCAAACGACCCGCTTTGAGCAATCTATAACTACTATATATGTATCAAACCGATCCACAGGGTTGCCATATCTAAACTGTCAGTTCCCACTGGCTGCATTTTGACAGGTAGTTAGAATGCCTAATTATTCAGTTCATGGTAATCATCGAGATAGAATAAGGTAGAGACGACATAAACACTATTTTGCGATATGACAAATGGACGCACTTCAAATGACGGAAAAGTATAATGAAAATGGCGACTTGAGTCGTACTTTGATTAACTTGAAGTCAGTAATTTTATATTTGAAGACTGATGGAATGAAAATGATTTTATATATTTAAAAAAAAAAGGCCTTTATTCTCACCAAAACTGACTAAGCTACACTATCTCGAGTTTGACATTGACGTAAAAATGTAATGCAAAGGTGCCGGCAATTTAACATCGTCTTATCATTTCCTCTTTATTCTATCTCATCGATGGCAATCTACTTCAAATAATAAAATAAAAAATTGTTTGGAAAAAATTAAAATTTGCCAACCTGCCATATATGTAATTTGAACACTAGATTCCAAAAACAAAACCGGAAGTCTGCCATTTTGTTTAAGTGTGGGTAATCTGTATCTGTGGTATAAGTGTGAATTCAAAATTGTCTAGTATGTTTGTTCCAAATTTTATCCAAATCGGTATTATCGTGGCCCTAGACTCATTGTCACCCGCGGTATACCTATCTTCTATTTTTAAGAGTAACCTATATCCTAAAATACGTATTAAATTTAACTGATGAACTTTAAAAACCCGTTATAACGAAAGTTAAGATAAAAAAAATGAGTAAATAAAATTAAAATTATCAGAATCAACTACAAAAATACAAACTACATTGAGAAACATCCTAAAATTTTATCTAACTTAGTAGTAAGTCTCTCTGCGATACCATCCATCTGGATTCTTCCTGAGACGCCATTTTCTAAATTCGTCAAAGATAAAGATGAAAATTGCAAAGGGAAATGAGTAGCACCACCTGGAAATAATATCAGGTAAATATATATATATATATATATATATATAAGTATTTAACTGTGATCCGAATGGTTTTCAAAGTGGAAAACTTGGATTTGTCATCATTACCATTTCATCTCTACCAGCTTATAAAAAATCAGAACTACCTCATTTGATGTAAGGCAACACTTCTTTTGTGGTACGATTGTTGGTACAGTATTAGCCAAAAGAGTAGTTGTTTTCAGAAGGGAAGCGCTCGCTCATTTATTTTATATAATAATAATAATATTAATGTTTATTTTTTTTATGATACATGGCTTAGATAATTTCTTGTTTTCATTTATTCTATCTATATATATATATATATATATATATATATATATATATATATATATATATATATATATATATATATATATATATATAGATAGATAGAATAAATGAAAACAAGAAATTATCTAAGCCATGTATCATAAAAAAAATAAACATTAATATTATTATTATTATTATATAAAATAAATGAGCGAGCGCTTCCCTTCTGAAAACAACTACTCTTTTGGCTAATACTGTACCAACAATCGTACCACAAAAGAAGTGTTGCCTTACATCAAATGAGGTAGTTCTGATTTTTTATAAGCTGGTAGAGATGAAATGGTAATGATGACAAATCCAAGTTTTCCACTTTGAAAACCATTCGGATCACAGTTAAATACTTGAAAATTTATTAAAATTTAGGAGTTTTTTCAATTTTTGTCAATTTTACCACCAAGGACCTGCGTTACGGCAAACGTTACGATGGACACTTTTTATATAGACTAAATTTGTATATATGAGAATAATTTGGTTTTGGTAGGCCGAATAGTTTTTAAGATAAGGCTATTTAAAAGTTTGCAATATTTCAAAAAAAGAAGTATTACAGTTTTTTTATTTTTCGACATTATTTACCCCTAAGTAGTGGGTTTATTGGAAAAGTTCTTTTTAGTTATTAAAATTAAAGTCCACTAAATTCCCAACAAAATGAGACCAATATGTCAACTTCTACCAGCTGTTCAAAGTTGTTGAGATAAGTTAACAATTATGTAATTTGGTTTTGGTAGGCCAGATAGTTTGCAAAATTTCAAAGAAAGAAAGTATTACATTTTTTTTAGTTGTCTGGTAGATTTTTACTGAAAGTGTGTTTTGTCTTTACTTTTATGTGTAACATAACATATATTAATTATTATAACGAAGAGTAGAAGGACTTTTTCACACATGAATTGCCACCATTTCTCATATCATTATTTAATGAAGATGGAATCAGCAAGGGTACAAAATCATCATTCTACACAGCTTTCAATCCTGTGAGTCTGAATGAGAATCAACAGAGGAATGATACGCACTTAGTTGTAGATGGTGGACATCTGCTCCACAAAGTAGTGTCTCGTAATGCGTCTTTTGGAGAAATTGGTTCCAGATATGTCGAATACTTGCAAAAACACTAAGGTTCAAATATAACTGTAGTTTTTGATGGCTATCCGTCTGAGCTCTAGCAACGTCCTCTCCTGATGTTATATTCGATGAAACAACCATTGCTTCAGTTGCTCAGGACAAGTTCCTATTGAATGACAGAGATAAAGTTAGACTCATCGACATGCTGAAGATTCACCTGGAGAAGAACAAAATTCTAACAGTCCAGGCAGAGGAAGATGTTCATAGGTTAATAGTAACCACAGCCATTTCCATATCCTCTTCCTACGAAGTAGTGAAGATCGTCGGCGAGGATATAGATTTGTTGGTCTTACTTTGTGGTTTGTCACGAGATGGAGAAGATCACATCCTTCCAACAAACAGACCAAATAACAATGTTATATTTGTAAAATGTGGGAGAGGAAAAACCCAGATGTCACCTACTCGACAAATTCCTTTACGCAATTATTACAACCTGGAATAGCACTGTTCCTTTACGCCTTTAGCAGTTAAGAATAAGTTTTTTTGCTTGTATTCCTTTCTGCTTCAGACCACATTTTTTATACATGGTTCCTTATTTTGATTTTGTTGTTGATTTTGTTCAGGTACAGAAGTGGCTGGGAAATGAGAGGAATCCTCTCGATTGGGACTGGATACGGAGTACACAAGGCATCGTTCCTAAACAGATGATGGCACCACCAGCTCCTCAAGCTCTGCTATATATGATTTTCTGTAACTGCAAAAAAGGTTGTATCAGCAGTTGTCGTTGCAGGAAAACAGGACTGAAAGCTGTTTGCAGCTACTGCACTGGCCAATCTTGCGAGAACATACCAGACCTGATGTGTGACGATATTGATAAACAATTCATTGATGACACACCATCAAATGACGATTTCGACCTTCCTGAGCAGTTCGATGAAGAAATTCTACCTCAGCAAGCTGCCCCTAAAAGGTGTGCTGTGGATTCAGAGGACGAGCCTGGTCCATCAAAAATGCGAATAATAACTATTTCCCCAACTGTGTTGTACATAAAATACAATGAGGCGTTTCATTACATTTTTCATATTAATGTTTTAATTAGTACAATGTTTATTTTAATAAATTTTAATGCTTATTTCATCAACAGGGCGTACTTCATTTTCTAAACCCTTCTAGTATTTAGTCTACTTAAAAAGTGTGCATAGTAACTTTTGCTGTAACACAGGTCCTTGGTGGTAAAAATTGACAAAAACTGAAAAAAATCCTAAAATTTAAAGAATATTTTAGTATTTAACAATGATCCGAAGGGCTTTCGAGGTGGAACATTTGGATTTGTCATTATCATCTCTTCATTACCAACATATAAAAAAATCAGAACTATCTCATTTGATGTAAGGCAAAAAATACCAATTCCATGGCCTAATTATATCCAAAGAAAACAGCAAAGAAAGAAATTTAATTTCAACACTTACTTTGATTTTGCTAAGGAGAACGTAATTCTTGGACCGGATTAGTCTTTATTAGAATTCATTAACAAGAAATATATTTCAGTCTCTAATATACTCTGCAAATGCATTAAATTCGCCTACACAGATTTAGGTCCAAGACTCCTTGGTAACCAAAACCAACGTTAGAGTATTGAAATTAAATTTCTATGGGGTCTATTCTGTAAAAATTCCTTTATATTTAACGGCCTTTAAAAATATTTTCTTCTTTACTTCTTTCATTATTTAAACGCATCTTTAAAATACATTAGAGGATTATCTTAAAGAAATCAGTTTAAATAATGACAGAAGTAAATTAACGAATACAAATATACTTTTAAAGGCCGCCAATATTTTTAAATGCCTTTAAATATAAAGGAATTGTTACAGAATAGACCCCTATCTCTGTTATTTTTCTTTGGATATAATTCAATGTCTGTTGCGATATTAGACAAAGGAAAAGTTGTTTTCCGAAAGGAAACGGTTGCTCGTTTTATTTTGTGACACATGGCTTAGATAATTTCTTGTTTTTATTTGAATTTGGAATTTTTTAAACAAAAAAGTTTTTGTTTTTAGTAAAAATTCTCGAAACAAACGAAGTAGAAAAAATCGATACATACCATCGAAACAGAATGGGATAGAACTTCAGATAATACATCCCTGGAATATAGGATAACATGCAGGCTACTACAGTTTCAAAAATTAAACTTATATTTAGAATCATATTCCCCAAACCTAGAAAAAATTAAAATTGTAAATAATTACAGTTCTAAAAAAATTAGCTATCACATTTTTCGTAAAAAATACGAGGGACCAGGTAAGTAGGAAGGGATGGAGATGACGTCAATTGATATAAGTAACATCACTTTCATTATATTGGTATGAAATTTTGGTGTAAATATGTAAGAATAAATTTTCAGGATATCACAGTAAGGGTGAGATTACAGAACGTCTGCAACTTTGCAGATCTGCAAATATGGCGGATTTACAGATGCAAGCAACAAGTTTTCGTATTCCAAAAAATATCTGTAAATTCGCAATTTATTGTGGATTTATTACCTCCAACAACACTAAACCCAAATTTACTCTTAAGGAGGTTAGAACATCCTAAAAACTTGCAGATTGTCAATTTTTACTTTACTTTTTTTTTAATAACCATGAAGTCTTCTGTTCCTTTTGATTGAATACAGTTCGTGGTGTCAGATTATCGAGTTTTTAAACATAGTACAGGCATCGCAACCTAATTTGTCTGAAGTGGGGATGCGCGTTAATCTCGAATTTCAATTGTCAACGCCTACTGTAACTATTAAAGAGAGACTTACTTGTGTTATAATGCCGAAACATTTAGGTAGCAAAGGAAATAATATTTCATCTATTCGAATATTTTATGAAAAAAAAATGTTCCTCGGCAACAAATAGTTTTGAAAAAAAAGAAAAAAAAACAACAATGATAGTGAAACTTATAGACAATGTTTTGTGAACGATGATCCCAAAACTCTCACTGAAATTAAAGAACAAGTTGCTGAAGCTACAGGAAACTTGGCAAAAACAATTAAACGAATAATTATTATAGAAGGTGAGATATCAAAAGGTGAAAAGTCTACGTCGACCATACCTAAACAATTGTTCAAAAGTCCAAAAAAGCGCAAAAGAACATCAAGTGTAACAGATATTCCATCCTACAATATTGGAACAATCAGAGATATAGTTTATAGATTTCATGAAACAGAAGGTATGCGCGTAACAGTCAAAACTTTTAGTGAAAAAAGGAAATTGAGTGGAAAGGGAGCTACACATCATTAAGAACTATTTTAAAAAAAATTGGGTTCAAGTGGCGAAAGACGCGAAACAACAGACAGGTTCTAATAGAACGGCTTGACATCAGGGAAAAAAGAATAGATTATATTAAAAAAATTAGATATTTTCGTTCTCAAAACCGTCCAATTGTATATATTGATGAAACTTATATACATAGTAGCCATATATAATTACATAATTGGGGTGATGATAATGCAAAAGGTTTGTTTTCCACCATTTCGAAAGGAAAGAGACTTATTATAGTTTATGCTGGTGGTAACATGGGCTTTATTACTAACAGTTTATTAATGTTTGTGTCTGGGACCAAATCAGGTGATTATCATAATGATATGAATCAAGAAAATTATGAAAAGTGGCTAAAAGAACTGTTAATACCAAATTTACCACCAAATTCTATTGTAGTTGTGGATAATGCACCCTATTACAATGTTATAGAAAATCCTGCTCCGAATTCAAATTCAAGAAAAGCTGAAATGATAAACTGGTTGACTTCCAACAATATTGAATTTCAACCTTCCTTATTACGACCACAGCTGTACACATTAATCAAACAGCATAAAAATAGATTCAAGCAATACAAATTTGATAGATTATTCTCCGAACACGGTCATACAGTTTTGAGATTACCACCATACCACCCAGACTTAAATCCAATAGAAATGATCTGGGCTGTAGTAAAAAATAATGTAGCTATAAAGAATATTCATTTTAAATTAGCACATGTACAAATGTTAGCTGAAATTGAATTTAAATCAATAACCCAAAAAGATGTGCACATGTAATAGCTGTCGAAGATAAATATTTAGATCGCGAAATTATAATGGATGACGTTGTAATTCCGACAGTTACACAGGTCCACAAAAAAAAAAGTGGTCTGTGCTGGGTGTTCGACAAAGATTTTCCGACGTATTTTTTACCGCTGAGCACGAATCTGAAGTCAAAATTGGGGGTCAAAGTGCAAAAAACGGAGAAAAATTAAAAAAACCGATAAGATCCATTATTGATAGATAACAAATAAATTTTAACAAATTTTGTAGTACCTACTTAAAAACCTATTTACATAATTGCGTTTGATCCATTGTGTAGGTATTCTGGTATTTCCTATAATACCATCAAATGATAGCTACATAAAACATTCTTAGAAACGAGGGCGGACTCGATTTGACCGTTATTAAGGATTAAAATTTTAGGTAATTTTCTTAAAATTTTGTGTTTAATCTGAGCGTGATCGTTTTAAATTCACATGTCGAGTGTAATTCACTCCTGCTAAATAGCTGGTGGAGAAAATATCCACCAGTGGACACCACATCGCCGACAGGAAGGTGTAGTGGATTTTACACCGGGCCAAACGAAACGTATGGTGTACGTTGGTGTAGTTCATTTCTACACCAGCAGGACGAACGAAAGAACCTTATTGTTACAAGGATTGTTTATGGTTTTAATTCGGCATTGACTAAACATAACGCTCTAGGCACACAAAAGGCTTCAAAAATTACATTAGGGAATTATATTTGCATTCTTATAATGCCAATTATATTCAGTTTAATGTAGTTTTTTCTCGTTACAACTATTATAGTTGTGAAGTGTTTTTCAGGTAAGTACGTAATTAATTTTGAAGTGTGACATCAGGGTAAAGCAGGCTTATTAGACGTAAATACTGATTTATTCATAAAATGCTTGCACACTCTTCAGATAAACATACTCGCATAAATCATCCCCACTTAAATTAGTAGCTGTTTCCTTCTTTCTAATGCAGCAGGCGATGCGACAACTATGAAAATTATTTAAAAAAAAAAAAAGGTTTTTAATGGTGCCCATTATGGGACAATATCTTCGAAAAGAGGGATCGTAGGAAACAAATATAAAGGAATTTGTCATGTCATTTTTATATGTTCTATCTAAATCCGAGAGATTGTCCACATATTTTGGGGCACCCTGTAGAACAATAATTTTTAGAGATAAACGAAATGAATGAACTTTTTTCGTTAAAAAAATGAATCTATACATTTACTAACGGCAAGTTTTCATTCAAAATATAATATCATAGATAAAATAAAGTATGCAACACGTACGAAAAAAATGTTCTTTAGCTTTTCTATCTACATTCGTGGAAAAATTGTAATTTTTCTCACTGGTCGTACAAAATAGAATTGTTTCATTGTTAGGAAGAACACCGTTCTAGTTACCCTCGTAAATCAACTTTTCTGAATCAAAAAAATGTTTGTTTCATGACGAAAAAGCAATTTTACCTTGCTTGAAAATCGAATTGACTCTTGTCTTGCACACAATTAAATCAGCCCATTGAGTAACTACTACAGAAATCATAAAAGCAGTGTAGCACGTATATTCTAGTTCCTTTCTATGCTCATATGTCCATTCCTGTCCAAACGAATCCATCAGATCGTTTACTTTTTCGGAGTCCCATTCCTCGCGAAGACCTACAATATAGAAAAAAATATAAATATACATATAAAATAAAAATAAAAACGGCAATAGATTAAAATATTTCTTATTTTGTGTGTACCAAATAGTCTGCGGGGATAGAATCCATTTTCAGCCATAATTGCGAAATAAACGAAGAATCCACCCACGGCCTCTATCAAGCCGATGTGTCCGTACGCCAAAAAGTACAATTTTCTTGTGACTAATTTGTCTTTTTTTGGATTTCTCGGCGGACGACTCATGATATCGCTTTCTGCATTTTCATAGGCTAAACTGATAGCGGGCAACATGTCTGTTAGCAAATCTATACACAATATAGCCATAACACCTAAAATAAAAAATAACTTCATAAATAAATGTACTCTGATATAATTGATCCAATAACAAGATCTTGGTAAATAGTCGACATTTTTCGTTATGAATAATCTGACTAAAGTCAACTTTCAACTTAGTAAATCGGAAAATTAAAAAAATAACTAGTTATCCTAACATTTATTTTATGGACCCATATGCAGATTATATTCCTAATCATAATAATACCCTCCCTATAATTCACCCCCTTACGAGGGAATTTTAACCCTGTAAGCCGAGCTTGTGCGGAGTAGGAAAGGACTAGGTATTATTATTAATATTTGCCATGACGCTCTGGGGCGATTTAAGATGATTAATGATGCAATTATTTGACTTACAGGTGAGGAAAACCCCAACTCACAGGGATTAAACCTGAACGTCGTATCCACAGAAATTATATTACGGCTAATAATGACACCTATCAAATCCTACAACTGACCATGTAAATTAACGAAAAATTCACTTTGACAGCTCTGGGATTATGCATCAAATGTCAGTAATTTAATACACGAGCACTTATTGCTGAAATAGTTCTCTGAACCTTACCTAATGGAAGTGGAATGTTGAGAAGTACAAAACCCAAGAAAGGCAAAATTTCTGGAACATTTGAAGCCAAAGTGTACGCAATAGATTTCTTCAGGTTATCAAAAATCCTTCTCCCTTCTTCTACGCCAGTGATGATAGATGCGAAATTATCATCTAGTAGAATCATATCGGCGGACTGTTGGGACACTTCCGAACCGGAAATACCCATGGCTATACCTATGTCGGCTTTCTTAAGAGCTGGGGCGTCATTAACACCGTCTCCGGTAACAGCAACTAAAATAAATAGCATTATTTTATTAATTTAACAGATAGAATCATTTCGATTTATACGAGTACTATAAGAATAATTTAATTTGTGCAGTTGGTCTGACACATTGTTTAGTGTGATTATGAGTACTCCGAACTCCGAGTAAGAATGAAACATTTATTTAGGATAAATATGGAAATGGAGGCACGTATTAGAAAAAAAAATTAATTTAGAACTGATAACCTGAACCTAAACTGTTGTCTTCATAAACAAAACCTTTATTTACGTAAAAAACTTCCTGGGAATGTACCAATTGAACATGTTCTTTTTAAAATTAAGAGTGAAAGAGTGATCCATAAAAAATGTTTCTACAGTAGGCTATGACCGACAAAGGCAAATATACGAGTTATGTTTTCGATAACTACGAATTAAATCCAATCTTTAGTCAAACTGACACAAAAAGAACTGTTGGCGTTAGTTTTTCCAAGGACTACTTTGGGAACATTATCATTTAGAAAGATTTAGTACTTTAGCAAAATTTTGCTGTTCAGAAGTCACAAAATTGCAACGGGTGGCGGCGATTAAAATTTACCGGGTAAAATATAAACGTGTCAAATTTTTTCGTAATCGCTTATAATTTCTTTGCATTTGTTTTTCAAAATTTTAAAACTGTTGGTGACATTAAATATTTATATACTATTCGCGATTCAACCTAATTTTCGCGCGCCTGTCTTTTGTCACCTATAAGTAGGATGTTTGTTTATTTACATGTGTTTGTTTTGGGCGGGATTTTGTATTTGTGATTTTTTAACTATTTTTAGATAATATTCTCATTATAATAGTGTTTTTGAGTTTCATTTAGTGTTAATTTAAGTTTAGTTTTTGTGCTTACGTCATAAATATAATTTATCATGTGTACGACTTAATTTGTTGGAAATATTGACCTATTGGTTGCTACACGAACATTTAGAAATATTTATTTACTAAACCCAAGACATGATTTATTATGTGGTTTAAAGGATATTTCAGGTACCAAACGTCTATTATTGATGAACTTATTTAAAAATCTTACTATCCTTATTCTTATGAAGTGAATTGTGTAGTACTTTGTATACATGTAAATGGTAATAAAACCGTCACAAATCCGATTGCAGTTTGATTCTAAACAAAATTTTGCAAAATCTCAATAATGTGAATTTGTAGATATCTATTTATCGTAAGAAACAAAATTTTACAACTTATCCTTGGAAAATAATGAACACTTTAGTTTTGATTTTAACATTAACACCATATGGATTGCAATTTGTTGGGGCCTTTTTTAAATTGACGTATGACATTTCTCTTCAGAGAAATGAATTCTCTAGAGTTTGAAAATAATAAAAATAACAGTAGGTAGAGAATTTTGTTTATAGTGATTAGCTATTATGTTGTGCATAACAACAAAGTGAGACGGGCGCACTGTATATAACTGCAGTCTCATTAATACTTATTAAAAGTCTAAAATAAATATTTTTTTTATTTGTTTCTGGGGAATCAATCCCCCTTGATCCCCCCTGACTATGGCCTTGGTTGTGAAGACTTCGTGTTAAGTGATGCCGAATTTAAATTGCTACACATATCTAGAAATTTGTATTTTATTTGTAATAGTGCAAAAATAAAATTAAGATCGTCGATAAATGAGCAATAAAAAGTTAATAATAACACAAATATTTTAATAATTTGATAGATGATATCTATAATCTTTGAACACTTTCATAAAGAGATTACCCAAAAGTAAGAATCGTCTTTTCAGTTAGGATGGTATCAAATGGCTCATTCAGCAAGCATACAATAACCTCAAACTGTGTAAAGAGTACCAGCGTAGATAAAGAGTACTACCAATTGTTAAATTAAACTATTTGAGCAGAGAAGATGGAGATAGAGCTCTTAAAAATACTACACCTAATGTATAGGCATTATTATAATTATTGTATTATTAATAAACTGAATAATTTATTATCTTACCAATGTCTCCTAATCTTTGACATCCTTCAACAATATGTAGCTTTTGGGTGGGCGAAGTCCTAGCGAATACAATTTCCCTAAAGTTATAGAGAATGTTATCCAGCTCTTGGTTTGTGGCGTCCCTTAAAGCCGATCCATGAATGACAATCGCCTTATCTTTAATATTCGGAGGCAAAGTTTCTATGACGTTGATACTGAAAGCGTCTATTACTTCTTTGGATTTTAATATTCCAACCTGTTTGGCAATAGCCTTAGCAGTGATCTGTAACATTATATTTGGTGTGCCTATTTGTTCTCTATAACTTAAAAAGTCAATTTATATCATTATTATAAGTACATAATACAGGGTGTTTATTCGGAAAACGGACATACATTAACCGTCAGTAGTAGTCATCTACTATACACTAAAACAATTTTACTATTTCACGTTTTGAGTTAGATTTTACCCAGACTTATTTTTTATTGTGTCTTGATTTTTATTATCCCTTGCTCTTTTTATTTTGGTTAAATTTAATAATTTATCTTCTAAACGACTATTTTGACTTTACTTTTACCTTTTTTTTGTAAAACTGTTAAGTAAAAGTAGCAAGTAAAACTGTAAAGCAAAACTGTCAATAAAGATGTTAAACTCACAAGTAAAACTTTAAAGCAAAAATGTCAAGTAAAACTGTCAAATTAAACTATCTAAAAATTAACTACACACTTAAAGTTAGACAGAATAATTTATTTTATAATAGTAATGAAGAAAATTTAATTCTATTCTAATAATTAACTTACTGGATGATCTCCAGTGACCATAATAACTCTAATTCCGGCACTTCTGCACCTCTCAACAGCATCTGGTACTTGAGGCCTTGGAGGGTCGATCAACGACATAAAACCGACGAATCTCAGATCCTTTCTGGGAAAATTTGGTGGTTCGGCACAAAACTTAAAGTCTTTGTTGTACTGTTTACGATCCAACATCAAATCAGCAAAACCAAGAACTCTTTCTCCTTTTTCCGCGAGTTCCGTCATGGCTCTATCACAGATCATTCTCATTTCATCTGTCATTTCTTCAGTACCTTTAGCGGTGTACATCTTGGAACAACGAGCTAGAATTCTCTCTGGTGCACCTTTCATTACCATAAGACAACTTCCGTCTTCCATTCCGTGGATACTGATCTGAAAGAAGTATGCATATTATATATCAAATTGGTACATCTACAATGAAAGATCTTACTTGATATTTAGTGACCGAACTAAAAGGTATCTCCAATAATTTAGGATTGTTGTGTCTGAAATCTGTTGGATTACCATGAATGTGAGTCAGCTCGACGAATTTCAAAATGGCTTCCTCAGAGGCATCTCCTCTGACCAGTCTGGAGGAGACAGGTTTATTTTCTTCGCCATGAACGAATTCCGCTCTGTTGCAGAGAGTAGCACATCGCATTAACGTTTGGAAACCTACAAAATTATTTTTCTACATAACATTTTTACACTTTGGTTTTCTGTACCTTCTGATTTGTTGTAATCTTTTGCAAGATCCTGTTGTATAGTGGAATCTGCGTTCATAATCTTTTTATCGCACCAAAAGTGACACACCGTCATTTTATTCTGAGTAAGGGTACCCGTTTTGTCCGAACAAATAATCGAAGTCGAGCCCAAAGTTTCGACAGCTTCAAGATTCTTCACCAAGCAATTTTTGGCAGCCATTCTTTTTGCGGTTACAGATAGACAGACGGTTACAGTTGCAAGAAGACCTGAAAATTTATATTTTATAATAATTTAGTAAACGAATGAAATATATGTTTTAATATACCTTCGGGAACGTTTGCTACGATGATACCAATCAAAAATAGAGATGCTTCTATCCAAGAATAGTTCATGGCTAGAGCTGCTGATCCAAAGACGAAACCAAGGAAACATGCCCAGACACTGATGATCTTCATGAAGTGTTCTAGTTCCTTAGCGATTGGTGTTTTATTCGGTTGGAGACGAGCAGTGAGACCCGCTATTCTTCCCATGACTGTGCGATCGCCGGTTTCACAAACAATGCCTGAACATTTTTAAATGTACCAATTATACTTTGTTCATATACAGTATGTACTTAGTTTTTCCTTTCCCTTTAGATTTTAACTGCATGTTAGACAGGCAAAAATAAGTAGGTACTGTATATTTTAAGTCAGGTTTAGCTATACAAAATTCACACATTTCACTGTACAAAGAAATATTGTAACTAAGAAAATTAATATAATGTAATGCTTCAAAATAAAGAAAATATTCCATTTTTTGTATTACTGAAATTTGATTGTTAAATATCTATAAAGGTACATTCAGTTCCTACTATCTGTTGCCCGCGGATTTAGCTAGTAAGGTCAAGTTGGTTAACTGGAACCTAGAGGTAACTGGGCCCTATACTTCTAATTTTGTAATCCAATATTTTAAACTACCGCGCTTTGTAACATGACAGCTATCATCCCAAGTCAACCTTACGACATTATATTAAAGGTACAAGAGGAACTGGTATTTTGGCTAAAGAATGACACGGAGGAGGAGAAAAAAATGCTTTAACTAAAGAAATGGAAGAGCAACTAGTTTCTACATTAAATACAATGCAAAAGTGGGGATATGGGCTTTCACGCCAAGAGACGTTGGACTTTAGAAATTTAAATATTACAAAATTCAAAAATAATTGTCCCGGAGAACAGTGGTTCTTGAATTTTTGTGAAAGAAATAAGCTATCTCTCAAAAAAGCTCAAGGAGTAGAGGTGGCTAGAAAAAGGCAAGAAAACCCTTGGACAATGTACGGTTTCTTTGATCTTCTAGAAGAAACAATTTTAAATTTAAAGTTACTGAATCGACCTGAACAAATATTCAACTACGACGAAACATTCTTCTCCAGTGACCCTTCAAAAACAAAAGTTCTTGGGGCAGCGGGTACAAAAGCTACAAGGACTATATCTACATGCGGCGTGAGAAAATACCACAGTGTTAGTATATTGTTCAGTATCAGGCCAGAAATTGTCTTTGTTAACTATTTTCAAGGGAAAAAATGTTATCGAGTCGATGTTACCTGAAAAACCTGAACCACTAGATATAATTGCTATAGCCGCTTCGGATAAGGGATGGATGACGACCATAATATTTGCTAATTGATTTGGAAAATATTTTTTCTCACGTACCAAAGGAACGTCCGATCCTTTTAATTGTAGATGGACATACAACCCATATTTCGTATAATGTGATCCAAGAAGTCCTTGATAATGATATATGTATTTTAGAACTACTACCACATACAACTCATCTACTTCAGCCACTCGATGTTGGTGTATTTAAGAGCATGAAAGCGACATGGGATAAAAATCTTTGTAAATGGCAAAGGCTCAACCCAAGAAGAAAAATTCCTAAAACTGAATTTACGCATCTTCTTGACAAGAAATTTTTGGAAATGCCGTAACAGAACATTATAAATGGGTTTCAAGCAACAGGTATCTATAATTTAGATACAGGTAAACCAGATCGAACAAAAGTTCCAGAAACAATATTTTCACAGCAAGATCTTGTAAAATATAAAACCACCACGGTAAACAAAACGAGGTGATTATTGGAACAAAAGAGCAAGAAATTAATGAAAACGAAGAAAATGGAACAATTCATCAAATGGAAGATTTAGTTAACAAAGAACAGCAAACAAATATAGTGAATGAGCAACAAGGTAAAAAGGAGTTGATGCCTAAGACAAACCTGGACCTTCAAACACCCAAAGCAATATTTGTCTGAATCCCTTTGAAAGTCTGGTGGTTGAACTACTAAAAAATAAAAAAACAAAATCGGAATCTCCGACACCACAAAAGAGAAGAAAGATCTGCAATGAGGCAGAAATTATAACAACATCAGACTACTTACAGAAAAAGAAACTAGAAGAGGAAAATAAAAAACTGAAAGAGAAGAAAAATAAAGCCCGAGTAGAAACAAAGTCTAAGAAAATAGCTCAAAAAGGGAACTCTATCCAAAACATAGATCCTTCGAAAGAGAAAAAACTCCAAATAAATATATAAAAAAAAATATAAAATATAAGAACACTAAAAGTAAAACAGAAAGTAGTGAAGATGATTTAGAGGATTATATAGAACTGATGTCGGATGAGAATGTAGAAAATGTCGTGGCTATTGTGGAGGGTGATTTTGTGCTTGTAAGGTACAATATAGAAATGTATCCTGGAAAAGTGTTGGATGTAAAAGACACAGAAATCATCTTATCTCACATGGTAAAAAGTGGGTTGTTTGCTTGGCGTTGTCCTGAAAAGCCCGATATCTTAGCATATGACGAAATAGACATAGCCCCAACAAAATAATAATAGGGGATCATATATGGTACCTGAAATGATGATTAGTTTAGTTGTTTCATTTGTTGTTTAAGTAGGTACTTATTTAGAATAAAGCGTTTTTTCTTCAATACTTAGAGAATTTTTAACATCTTCATTTTCTCGGCTATTTTTTAAGATAAATTAAAAAAAAATTTTAACGAGTATTTGTGTTGCTTTATGAAACGTTCCAGTTACCTCAACGTTTTCTACATTGTACAAATACAAAATTACACCACCTAGTTCCAGTTACCTTAAATTCCTGGGTAACTGGAATCAACTGACAAAAAAAAATTCCCCTAAAGCTCAGAAAAACATTTTTGTTTTCAAGCCGTTATTGCAGTTGATTTACAAAGGTCTAAATTGCATAACCATAGAATCTTGACCAATTTTCTTTTCAGGTTCGTCTCGTACATAGTTGCAAATTTAAGTGTTGTAAAATTAGGTTTCAGTTAACCAACTTGACTTTAATTAATAATTAATTATTATTCTGCAAGAAAAGATAGCTAGTCGATCTGATGCATATTATGTTGTATATTGGTGAATTTCTCAAAACATTGGTTCGCGGAGTATCTAAACTTAACGATAAACTTCTTCTTTGAAGATATTTTTGTAATATAAAAGTTAAGTTTATCTACCTAGTAGATCCAGAGAATCAATATAGGTATGAGTTACTTTAGAAACCAACGATGAAATAATAGGTAAGAAGCTAAGCTTAAAAATTGCGTCAATGACTAATGATTTAAAGCTGAGATATGTGTTATTTAGGTGAGCTAGAAGAGAAGAATACAAATAACAAACAGAACATAAACTTTGAGTTACCTTTTGCAGTTCCTTCTACAGCGTTAGTTGAAAAAAAGGCAAAATTTTTGGTCTCCAAGATGTTATCACTTGAACATTCAGTGCCTCGATATTGCGGTTCTGATTCCCCAGTTAAAGCTGAGTTGTCGACCTGCATTAATACATAATTAATAATTAGTTTTCTACATCCTAGTTTTTGGCCGCTCTATATCCATATCTCGAAAATGATTTAAACAACGATATTAACTTTAGTTTCATACCTTAAAGCCTTGACTGTGGATTATTCTAATATCAGCTGGTATGCGATCTCCAAATTTCATTTCAACCAGATCTCCAATTACAATGTCTTTAGAAACTATAGTTATTGTTTCACCTCCTCGTATCACAGTTGCTTTCGGAGGAACCATATTTGCGAAAGATTCCATAATCTACAAAAATGAGTAGGTATTAAAAAGAATTAATAAATTGTACATTATTGAAAAATCATATTAGCTTGAAATAAAATTATGACTTATTTCATAAATCATTTAAACAGGGCAAAATGCAAGGATTATAGAGAATTCAAAGAACCTAAAAATTGCATTTTATCAATTTGAACATTATCATATTTATAAATAAAATTGAACGTCAAAGGACTATACTATCCTAAAGCAAGTCAGATACATAAACACATATCAACCTCGTGATATTCAGAATTTTTTATTTTCTATTGCTACAAATTTTTTTATTTACTAAAAACCCCAAGTAATTAGGTACGAAAACATTTTCCACTTTTATTTTTGTAATTAATTTAATTTTTATTACTAGTGAATGATAATTTGAGAAAATAAACTTGTTTTAAAATTAATTATATTTTTTAAAGATATGAAATAAAAAATAAAACCAAACGAAATAAAGTTACCTTTTGACTTTTGTGTTCTTGGGAAAACATAAAACATCCAGTAACAACAACGACTACAACAAGCACTAATCCTAATATAAGATTGTCCGTATCTGTTTCTAGGGTTGTGACTTTTCTTATAAGGCAAGCGGTGAAACATAATGCGGCACCTATCCATAATAACAATGAAAAACCTGAAAACAGAAATAATTGCGCCTTTATATTTTTGTTTAAAAATAGTTAATAAACAGTATGTATACTAAATACTAAATATGCATACTAAAGAATGAATAGGGGATAAGGGATAGGGGTAGTGGATAAGGGGATAGTGTATATGGGATAGGGGATAAGGATAGGGGGATAGGGGATAATATTGGTATAATATTTGGCACAATCAACATATATCATGTCCTTTTTGTGTGTTAGATATTAACAACATCAAACCCTATAATCTTATTCCTTAAAATGAATAAGTAACTAAATTTTTAGACATATATTATTTTCTCTTAGTAAATCAGCAGAGACGCACCAAGTATCCTTCACGCAGTCGTATAAAATACTTTACGTGCATTGAGCTAAAATAACTTGTTTTCACAGCTTCACTTTATGACAAATTCATATATTTGTTAGTATTTGAAACAATTATAAAAAACAATTATTTAGATTGCATTTGGAATTTGTCCTTAAATAAAGACGATAGAAACACAGAACCAAAAGGATCTGGCCCAGTCAGCTACGTATGTGATGACTGAGTCAGGAAAATGTGTTGACAGCAGAATCTGCAAAATTGGGATGAAGAAAATATTGTTACGCAGATTTTTGGTATCACAATTTATTTAAACTCAACTATTCAACTGAACGTCTATCATAAAACTGCCAACTGACGTCAAGTCGTTGACTTATATAGCTTGCCTCCACCTTCTAGAACCTTCTCGAACCATCCGGATTTTTCTTTGACAAGGAATGACATTTCGAGAAATTTCTGGAATATTCCATCTTCTTCATTTACTCGTACCTTTACTTATGACGACCGCAGCACGCTGCAGGGTGCTGCGTAACATTGCTTCCTCCTTTCTAGTTATTCGCCCCGAATAACTTAATTACTGGGATCTAGTTGGAACTAATGGGGAGGATCTGGACCATGGTATGGAGCTATCTTTCCAATGTGAACTACGTTGAATTTACTTCCCGCTGACAGTTGAATGCGGCAGATCAGGTCGTTGATTTTCTTTAAGGACGGAGTAGGAGCCTTCCCAGTTCCGTTGCGATTTCTGACGAAGTCCTCCTCGCTGCTTGGGATTGCACAGCCATACCTTGTCGCCCCTCTCAAAATGTGTATCTGTGGCACGCCTGTCGATTCTAGCTTCTGCTTTATGGTTGTGGGCTTTCAGTCGATCCAGAGCAAATCCATAGACCTTTTTCCTGCCATTGCATACATCACATTTTTTACACCAATCCGCTACATCCCGTCGGCAATTGACCCAACAAAATCTTTCCCGAACTCGTGCCAGTGTCCTTTTAGTATCAAAGTGTCCTCCTGAACGGCTGCTATGAAGTTCCTCCAATACATTTCTCACCTGTGGCCCCGGCAGTATCACTTGGCGGACTACATGTACTCTATCGGGACTCTTCCACTTCCGGTGCAATAGGCCATCGTGAAGATACAGGGAATCCCACTGGGTCCAGTAGCCTTTTATAGTTCTACTATATTTGGCTATATCTTGCCAAGTAGGTGTGACTTTATTTTTGAGCCATTCTCGGACAACCTTTAAGTCATTGTCTTTCTTCTGTCCCTGTCTCAGACTTTCAAGGGTGATTTCTTCTTCGTCGCCCTCTGGCTTGATAGTGGTTGCCCGAAGAGTAACTTTATCAACCGGTTCTTCTCGTTCTTCGAGCCGTTTACCATACCAGCATTGTTCCTCTAAACGGGATTGCCCGAAGAGAATGTCTGCGTTGCTATGGAGACCGCTCGGTGTGGGCGATTGGCTTCTTTGGGACGCATAGCTGCTGTAATTAATTCTTGTTGGTCTTAGTGATGGGCTTGGAAAGATTGATGTATATGATTTTCCGGTATCATTCGCTGATTCTCGCTTTATAGAATGAGCCATGCTTCTACAGGTTCTTTGAAGATGCCCGATTCTTCCACAATTAAAGCACCTCCTGCTTCCGTTTTGGCTGTTTCGTTGCATATTTCGTGGGATATTTAAGATTTGGAAAATAGCATTAGTATTGGCCACCTCACTTTCCTTGGATTTAATTTCCCTCACTTTTGCGCGAGAGGAACTGGATAGGAGTTTTACCGTTTCATATTCCTGGGCTGTAATCAGTTTCTCCCTCAGCGTCTTGTGATGTTGTAGACGTAGGACTTGCTGCATTTTCGCATCTTGTAATCCATCAATGAATGCCTCTATTCCGATTTGTTCTTGGAAATCTTCGGGCGCCTGTGGATAGGCCAGATGAATCAATCTTCTTATGTCGGCCCCGAATTCCTGTAGTCTCTCATTATGTTTCTGACTACGCATTTTTAGCTGGCTTTGAAACACCCGTTTCAAATGCTGCTGGCCATATCTTGTCTCCAAAGCTTGGACGAGATATGAATAACTGGGTTCTTCTTGAGGAAGTAACTGTAACACGGTTGTGCTTGTCCTCGCAGCGACACTATCAATGCAGGCACCATCTCCGTTTCAGCCCAGCTGCAGCTTCAAATTGGAGGCGATACGTTTCCCATGTTGTCTGACCGTCAAACGTGGGTGGCTTAATGATCTTGCTAGCATGGATTTGTGAAATTGGGTGTTGAATATGGCTTGGTTCGATTACAGATGAGGACGAGGTAGTGTTTTCAGCTTCTCTGTTGCTTATCGAAGCTAGGCTACGAATTCTTCTTTCTAACTCAACTAGTTCAGTTCTAATTTGCCTTTCGAACTCTACTCTAGCCTTTTCCTGTTGTTTTAAATTATCTCGTTGTTGTTCTAAATTAGTTTTTAAATGCTCTTGTTGTTGCTCTAAAACATCTAATTTTGAGCTGACCAATCTCTTGCTTAAAGGTTTCTTGGATTTTTAGCAAAGCATTCATAATTTCTACCTGAGCTGTTTTATGCCTCTCTTCCTTTTTTTTTTCCTCGTCCTTCCTGTGTCTTTCCTTCTCCTCCTATTCTTCCTTCCTGCGTCTTTCCTTCTCCTCTTCTCGCCTTTCCTTTTCCTTTTTTTTTTCCTATGCTGTTTCTTTTCCTCCCCTTCTTCTTTCCTACGCCTTTCCTTTTCCTCTTCTCGCCTTACTCTCTCCTCTTCCATCTTCAAAAACCATGCTGTTGGGCCGGAAGTATCTATGCCTGCTTCGTACTCAGTGGATCTAGTATTTACTATGAACTTCTACTTTGTATCCCACCGCTGTCACCAATGTTATGCAGGTTTTTGGTATCATAATTTATTTGAACTCAACTATTCAACTGATAACATTAACGTGTAACGTCTATCATAAAACAATATTAATGCTTGTATATAATTGGCTATTCAAAATTTCAAGAACCAGTTGATTTAGCCAACTTTGATATTAAACAAATACCTTTAAATTATTTTTGATCATGGTGTAACATAGAGGTCAACTAAAACTAAGTACAACCTCTGTTGCCAAATGCAACAACACATACTCTGTCAGCAAAGTCTACTAGCTAGCTCGACAGTTTTACTATTGTGGGACTATATGCTACCCACATAAAAGTATTGATGTCTGGATAACTTTATCGTCAAAGGCGGTTGATTCCCTTTCGTACGAACTGTCTTTTTATAGCATAAAATCATGTATATATGTTAAAAAAAAAATTTAATTTTTTTACACATTTACAAGGTTTATTATCTTATTAAAAGTAAATTAAAAAAGCAATAATTAGTAACCAATATTTAGCAAGTATTGCAATAATAATAGCGATCATGTTTGTACTTAATTAAAAAAAAAATCAAGTTTATAGCTTTATTAGCTTCCAATATACGGTGATAAAAGTATGGTCTGTGAAGTAAGGACAAAAAAACATCATTTTGAAAATGATTATTATCTCGATAAATTTTGCTCCACTATTTTATTATGTTTCATCAAATTCATAGGTTTAAGAAGATTGTCCATTTCACAAATTCATAGGTTATATACCTACCTAAATAAATTTTTTATTTAACCAAACTTTCCGAATCGGAATAAAGTTTTGCTAACCTTGTGATACCATATGTTGGAATGGGGCCAAACTGTTAATGTCGAATACGATTTTACGATTCTCTCGGTTTAACGAATTTCCCTCGTCAAGTGGCTATTAAAACCGATAACATTTTCATTTTTTTATAGAATTGTTTTATACGCTTGAAAATATTTGTAAACTAGTCAACATAAAAAATTATTGTTTTAGTAATTTGATTAAATAAATATAAATAATTTATTGTGTCGAAGTAATTAAAATAATAAGAGGGGATATTGGCATATCTAGTTAGCCTGAAACGGTTTTTAGTAAACAAATTTGAATGTGGCTAGGCTCTGCTCGGATAGAGAATAAGACCTTGTTCAAACACAGCAGAATCCGCGCTGATCTTATTTACATGAAAGTCTACCTAGTTGTTTATATTAGGCCAGTGTGAACTACTAGGTAGACTTTCCAAAGAAGTAGAGAGGGTAGAACAATAAGGTACCGTCTGCGCATCCATCACGAGTGTAGAAATTATGCATGATTCAACCTTCCACTCTTACACACGTAAATGACAAGGAGAGGTTGCCCTAAAGGACTGTAAACAAATTCCAGGATTGGCTTTATTCAACGATTATGTTCATGTTCAGCTCTGTTTTTTGTTTGTGTTGTGGCTACTGTAAGCTTTTTTGGCGTCAATTCTTTTTGTTATCTTGCTTATATTTGTGATTTTTTGTGTTTTGATTTCGATTTAGTATTAAATTATGCTTGTTAATTATTTTCCGATGCACTATTTTATAATCGTCCCTGAATCGTATTTACAAAATCTGCAAAACGAAATTATGCATTGTGTCTATATTTTTCATTCTACCCCTCTCCACTTCATTGAGACTTTTACGTAAATAAGGTCCTCGCCGTTGATCCATGCGGATGCGAACCGCGAAGATTCTGCTGTGTCTGAACACTCTGAACGAGGCCTAAGATACCACGTAAAGCTTCTCGCATCTCGCATCAAAATTACCCTTTTAAAC